AGAAATGTGCTCCTCGGGGAAGTTAGGGGCGGCAGACTGCGCCGGTGCTGGGCCACCCTGTTGAGCAGGAGGTTGAGGAGCAGAGGCTCCACCACCGGCCGGGCCGCTTACAACGCCAGACCGTTGGCCAATGGTTGTGCCAGCAGGACCGGGTAGTCTTGGTTCTTCCTCGAGTGCCTCCTCACTCTCCTTCGGGATCTCCGCCTCGCCCAGAAAGGGCACCTCCTCGCCTTGAATGATGAGCTTGTCCTTTGCGAGGTCGATGCTGGCCTGGTAGCGCTTGAGCATGTCGAGGCCGAGCAGAAGCTCCACCTGCTTGCCCTCCATAACGGTGAAGCTGCAGGGCAGGAACAGCGTTCCGACCTTGATCTGGGCAGAGTGCACGCGGCCGATGATGTTGGCCGTGCCGACTCCACGAGCCACTCCTGCGAAGCGCTTGTCCACAAGACGCATGATACCACACGCTTCCGCGCACGCCGGCGACATGATGGTGGCCTGGGCTCCGGAATCGACCAATGCCTTCACCCTGTGGCCGTTGACCTCGACATCAACATACAGCATGTGGACCCTCCCAAAGACTGTAAACCGTTAGCTCATGCAAAGCCTCTTGTCTTGACTGAATCCTTACCTTCGGGATTGTGCTCCATGGCGTTTTGCAAATTCTCCATTACCCTCTCTTGGCGAATCATCTCCTCAATCTTGGCCTGCGCCTCAATGTCGAACGGGTCCTCGTTCAGGCGTGCAATCTCCCTCTGCCTCTCCTCGCGTTCGCGTTGCTCTCGGTCGTAACTATCGTTGAACAGCTGTGCGAAGCGTGCGGGGTCTTCGAGGGCGGCGGCGAGCTGAGGCTGCTGACGGGTAGCTTCCGCACGCAGGTTGGGATCGCCAAGGATCTGGAGGCGGATGAGCTCGGGGTCTTGGCCGCCGGGTCGTCGACGCTGCTGCTGTCCTTGTCCTCTCCTGCCCTGGTCGGGCACACCGGTGCTTCCTCGCATATCTCTCACGTGCAACGCCAACATTTCACCGTCGGCAATCTGCAGCTGCTCCATCGTGCTGTTGTCATCCTGAATCAGACGGCCGTTGTGGTAGAGATGCTGGGACGTGGGCAGGATCTGTGTCTCGGCTTGGATGGCTTCGCGGAGAGTGGAGACGGGCATGTCGGGAAAGATCTCGAGGGTGAGAAGGTCTTGGTCTTCGACCTCGGGATTCGTTATGCTTAGTGTGATGCGCCTGTCACCGAAGCTGTCAGTCGAGAGTCAAGGACGTTTCGAACATGGTGCAAGCTTACATGATGAGCTTTGTTTGTTTTCCCGCGGTGTCAGGTGTACAGTGTTCGGTGCCCGGATGGAAGTGGAGAGTAAGTTGGGAGAGTAGGTAGCGGCGGTGAGCAGCAGGAGGCAAGCAGCCCGAGGCTTCTGGTAGAGTTGGCGGGCAACGTAAGGCTAGCTGTCGTCACGAGCCAGTCGAGTTTCACGGTTGCGAATGCGAAGTTCTGGGTACTTCAGGTTCAGACCGGAGCTGCGGCGGAGGGTTGATGAGGGGTGTTTTGGAGGGGCAGCGGCGGGAATCCAGGCAGCACGGTGGTGACGTCTTATGGAAAAAGCAGACGTATTTGAACGAAGAAGAGGAAGGCTGGAAAACAGAGAGCTTGCGAAAAGTTTTCGATTGGGTACGGGCTTGTGGTGCGTCTTCTGGTGATTGGGTGTTTGCCGTCGTCAGAAAAAAAGGTAGGTAGCAGAGAGAAACGTCAATGTGGTCAAGGTAGGGATCTCGACGTAAGGGAGGGCGGGCAGACGAGTTGAGGTCGGGGTACGTAAAGAGCTCGGCCACTCAGGTACCAACCAAGTGTTTCGTCAGGAAGGTGGGCGCTGGGCGACCCCTAAAACATGATGGAAAAGACACCGCGGCGACTAGAGGCACCCTGGCCCTGGCCGTCGTCTACTTTGTACGTTGCCCCGTTTCCCCGTTTGCGGCAATGGGAGCTGGGGCGGCAAGCTCGCACTACCTATCCGCACCTTACCCTCCATTCGATGCAGTACAGCACGGGAAGCACTGGCCAAGCCGACGAGGAAGCTGATGGAAGGGCGTTGAACCTATGCGTCAGCATGGTACTTTCTTTTCATGCTGCTGTACCGCAGGTAAGCTATCTGCATGACCTGCTTCCCCGGGCAGCTCACTGTCATGTCAACAGTTACATTAGTAAAGAGACTGTAACTGGACTCTGATAACAGGGAACAGCCAGATGCCTCGGGCAACGAAACAGCAACGCGCAATCGCAATACGGTCACCCGACCTGTTTCTTTCATCTCTCAGGTGCCTTCTCCCGAGCACATCAGCCCCACGAGCTAATCGTTACCTAAGCCGCGCTCGAGGTACCGTCAGAGTATCTGCGGGTGCGAGAGCCGCCCGCCCAGTTACCTCCCGTTTACATGGCCTGCGGCATCTGCGCAAGTCAAACAAGGCAACTGACGAGCAACAAACCCTTGCACTCCTTAGACGAGGTACCCGACACCTTGCTCACCACACAAGCGATGGATATTTTTACACTGGAGCTTACCTCAACTATGCAAGTTGATAGGTCTGTTGCCCCAAGCCGCCAATCGAACGCCGCCGGCGACATCCTCTGCCACTGCTTCGGTGGGTTTCTGTGCAATAATGACGAAGATCCCGAACGACGAATATCCCCAGCCCTCGAAATCCCGGTTCGACTCGGGAGATCCAGTCAATCCCACCCGCTCGCTTCGGCCACGGCGAATTCTTCATGATGAGGCGCCCGTCGAGGACCAACCGATTTCAGCGACAGCATGCGGGTTGCAAAATCGAGGCGCTGGGCTATCGTCAGCAAAACGACGAGAGAAAGTACCCAAGACAGAGATCATCGTGTCTCGATAACCCCGACGCTGGCCGATGACACCTTCCGGTCGAGTCAGACCGACGGCGTGCGTCTGCGCCGGCGGACGTCGGCACTGCACAGGAATGCTCGGACGCTGGTGAGGTTGGTCAGGACCCGGGCTTCCGGCCAACTTCTCAGGCCGGGTGCCGTTTGCTTGCCGGTCGGTGGTGCTGTTTGCACTGGCCGACAACGTCTCTGGCTAGCCTCATTGATGCCTCGCTCCAACCAACACCAAATGTACTTTGCTACAAGACTCAAAAGTGCCTCAGCTGCTGTCCTGTTTGAGCGTGCTGCATCTGCAGAAGCGCGGCGGGGGCGATGCAACTCTGGATCGCGGGACCGGGACACCTAGCAAATGTCGATGCTGCACCTCCATCCGTTTCAGTCACCTCCTGCAGCTGTCATCCGGCCAGCTTGAGCAACAGAGCAGGAAGATTATCCGTCGGACGAGGGCTTCTCCTCGTGGTTGACAGTGTTGACCAAACTGGTTTGTCCATTGTTCTCACGGGCCGTCGCGACGGAAGAGATGCGTGCCAGCAGACGGCCCTTTTCAGGTTGGTTGACTTGCCCAGCAGTGTTACTACGAATTCGGCTCTACCTTGGCACTTGTGGTGGTGGGGACGTGTTCACGATGCGAAGCAAAATGCTCCAGCCAGGCGCATGGCAAAGGAGCAACAAGCATGCCAAGACCTGACAACACTTTTACTCACCAACAAGTAGCATCGCCAAATCTTGCACCCTTTTTTAATGTTGCTTTTTTTCCGCGGTCATTCCAGCGAGGGCGGCCTCCGTCGGTTCCTGACTTTTTTTTGCCTACCAATTCAATCAACCCACAGTGACAAATATGGCTCAAGCATCTGAGGAGCACTGAGCCTCTCGCACTTGGCAGGCCTTCAGGTCACGCCGCCAGAGCCAATGTTTGGTGGGGTACCTAGGTAAGGTACCTACCTACCTCAAGGTAGGTAGGTAGAGGTACCTCCCGAGCTAAGGTAGGCACCTCAGTTTGTTTCCCTTGATCCTGGGCAGCCAGCAAGCCAGCTTCAGGGCCTCAATTAGCAGCTTCAGGCCGTCCCTAAGCAGCGGGCAGGGCGAGCTGAACAAGCACAGAGGTCGGACAGGTATCCATTGTTACCCGCGTCGCCATCTGTATGTACAAAGAGGGCCCTTTTTTGCACCTAATCTCACAGACTTGAGATGCATCACAAGCAGCGTCATTCATCAACGTCGCAACTCTATCATTCTCATGCAAAGAGTGGGAAATAAAGATGGAGCCTGGGCAGACGGCCTTTGAGCATCCAGGGGGACCGAACAGGCCACAACTGTGCCGCTGCGGGTAGGTCGGTCACGCGACAAACACCTCATCCTACCTGCCTAGGTACCAGTGAGTGAGTGGCCCGCCCAATGGCTGGAGGAAACTCCAATTCTCTTGTTTGCCCAGCCCAGCCCAGCCCGGGCAAATCCAATCAAGTCTTTTACCAGCTATATGCCCTTCTGTTTGACAGTCTCCTGTTTTCTTTGAGGCAGCTTACCTACTTACCTTTTTGCAGCTTGCAGCTCCCACCACTGCCGTTGCCATCTTCTTCACTGTCTCACACTGTTGGTGCATTGTGCCCCTCCCACGTTCAGTGACCCTTCTTAGTCTTCTCTCACTGCCACTCGGCGCCTCCCCCGGAATCCAGGCCTTGATCGGCTCACCTCATCGGCACCCGGCCGGCACTCTCTGTGTTAGCCCCCGTCATCCCATCCCCGCCCCTAACGTCAGCCCCGAGTCCTACGGCCGGCAGCCTCTTGTGTGCCCTCCGTGTCCGACCCGCCCTGGTCGGCCAGTACTCTCCGTTTGAGTGTAACACTTGCCTTCTTGGGCCTCTCTGTTCTCGGCGTGCTCCCGCCTTGTTGCCAATTATTTCTGGTGTTTGCAACCCAGGGGATATTTTCCCAGGAAAGCTCCAGTCTCTCTCTCTCTCTGTCTCTCTCTCTTGTGTAACCGACAACCTCCCAACTGCCAACGCCCCTCCTCCCATTCTCCATAACCCATACTCTCGGATCCTCCTCATCCTTACCCCATCCATCTTCATTCATCATCGCGCATCAGCCCGCATCAGCCACCATGCCCGAGAAGGACCCTCCTGTCAGCCAGGCCGCCGCGGCCTCTGACTGCGCCATCGACGACTCGGACGATGGCGACGAGAGCTACGTTGAGGCCCAACGCATTCGCTCTGAGCAGAAGCAGAAGCGCCCTCAGACGGACTCTCTCCGTGTCCAGGAGATTTTCCCCGTCCATTTCAGCCCCCTCGTTCAGCCCTTGACCAGTTCGAGTGTCGAGTCGTGTGTCGTCCTCGAGAACGCTGCGTTCCCCAACCCGGACCATCGCGCTACCAGAGAGAAGGTGAGCCAACTTTTTTCTTCTTTTCCTCTGGGTCAACACGGTGTACTCCCATCGCGCCGTTTTCTCTTGCGCGTCCTGGGTGGATGCTGATCACCGCTGCTTGCTCCACGCGTTGCAGACAATTTGCCTTGCTGCGTTGCTCGTTGGTGTGGCCAGCGGTGTTAAACATGATCCTCTTCGCCAGATCTGGCTCATGCTGACTTGGCTGCAGTTCGAGTACCGTCTTTCGACCTGCTCCGACATCTGCTCCGGCATTTTCTGCAGCATCGTCCCCAGCGAAGCCAAGGACAAGGACTTTGCCCTAGAGACTCTGCCAGTCGCCAATCCTGTCGAGACGGGCCGCGCCAACGGCGCCGTTCTCGCTCTTTGCGCTCACGTCGTCTCGACCCTCGGCAACGGACCCGTCGTCACAGATGCCGACATGAGCTACCCCGTCAACTGGCGCGACCAGGAGTCGTCCAAGTCGTCGGGTCTCGGCCATCAAGTCATGGGTCGCACGGTCTGCCTTCACTCGTTCGCCGTCGCGCCCAAGCTCCAGGGTTGTGGCCTGGGCAAGCTCATGATGAAGTCCTATCTCCAGCAGATCAACAACTCGGGCGTTGCTGACCGTGTGGCCCTCATCTGCCAGGACGTAAGTTGACTCCGGCTGCCGTGCCACGTTCGTGCTGACATGTAGCAGTACCTTGTCAGCTATTACAAGCGATTCGGATTCCGCCATCTTGGCGAGAGCAGGGCGTCCTTTGCTGGAGGTGGATGGAACGACATGGTAAGCGCCGCTGATCTCCGCGGCTGCAAAACGACACTGACGACGTCTCAGGTGATTGATCTCGCCGGTCCTCCCAAGAAGAGCACCGAGGCTCTCAAGGCCGTCGCCGACGAGACTCGTGCCCACGAGGCTAAGTGAAGAATTCCATGGTTCGGTCACACGAAATAGTCCACTTCCTTGGGTGACTTTTCGTGTAACAGCATATTTCCCCCCCTTTCGGTACATGATTAGGAAGGACACACATACCCTGGTCGCTCAAGTAAACGACGGGTTTGCATTACTGGCTTTTTGTTCTCTTTTGCCCACTGCGTTACGATATCTGGAGGGCGGCAAACTCCTATAGACAGCATGCGGCTACGGTACGAGGATATGATATAGACTAACTTGCCTCAAAAGGGAGAGCAAGAGAATTGAACCCATTTTATCCTGCATCGCTTTTATTTCATGCGAGGGGGCTCAAGTTTACGGGTCGCTTCGAAATCACTTTTTTTTTGTTCTTCATCTTTTGCGCCTGACCCAAGGGAAGCTCCAATCGAGCGTGCCCATCTAGGTAGCCGTGACCTGCGAACTCTAAATTCTCATCCTCTGACCCAGAAATCCAGCCAACTCAGTCGGTCGCCTTGTACTTGGCGCGGTACTCCTCCGTACGCTTAATGTCCTCGGCGGACGCGAAGCTCTTGGCACCCTCAATGATGTCGTCGAGGGTGAGAATGGCGAAGATGGGGATGCCGTACTCCTTCTTGATCTCGCCCATGGCGCTGGGGCCGGGCTTGCTGTCGTCGCCGTCGGCGGCGGGCAGCTTCTCCATGCGGTCGAGCGCAACGACGATGCCGACGACCTCGCCGCCCTCCTTGCGGATCTTGGCAATGGCCTCGCGCTTGGCGGTGCCGGCGGTGATGACGTCGTCGACGATCAGGACCTTCTTGCCCTTGAGAGGCGCGCCGACAATGTTGCCGCCCTCGCCGTGGTCCTTGGCCTCCTTGCGGTCAAAGGAGTAACAGGTCTGCGCGTAGTGCTCGGGGTCGAGCTCGGCGAGCTTGTCGGTGGTGGAGGTCGCGAGGGGGATGCCCTTGTAGGCGGGGCCGAACACGATGTCAAACTCAAGGCCGGCGGTCTTGCGGGCGTCGATGACGGTGTGGGCGTAGGCCACGGAGATGGCGCGGAGGAGGTCGGCGCGGTAAAAGTCACCGGCGTTGAAGAAGTAGGGCGAGATGCGCTTCGACTTGAGCTCGAAGGAGCCGAACTTGAGGACACCGCCCGCGATGGCGGCCTTGAGGAAGTCCTGCTTGTAGGGGGGGAGCTGAGAGGCCATTTTGGTGATGGTGTTTCCGGCTTTGACTTGAGGGAGTCGGTAGGAGGGTATCAGAGGGGGGTGATCAACCAGTCTGGCTTGTCGTGTGCTGGAGGATGGAATTCTCAAGATTGAAGATTCTCGGGTTGCCCCTCCATTGAAGGACTGCCCCGCGGAATGTGCCCCACTACCAGCTGGAAATTTTTGCGATTAAGTTCTAGGCGGAGGTACCCTTGGGTCTGCACTCTGCAGGGTCTACCACCCGGGAGTTGAATAGCCTCATATTCAGCATTATCTACAACACGCGAGAGGATAGCTCCGCCATGATGGTTTGCGAGGCAAACTTAGCAATTAGTGCGTCGCAAACCAAACCTTCGCCCTCACGCTCAGCGGAATTCACACCACCGACAGTAGACGCCGTCGAAGCGCGAGAACCGCTGCCAAGAGAGAGGTGACATGCGTCGCCACCAGGTGTGGGTCTGATAAGATAAGGTAAGCGAGTCTCCGCAGTGCGTACAGGAAAAAAAAATTCAAGCCTCTCGACACCGCCCGACCGCCCAGTGCTTCATCCAGTTCACGGACGGGCAATTTTTGACCGATCGCAACTCTGAGGACTGCTTCATTTTCCCGCGCAGACCCCAGCCGCCCAACATGAAGACTCAGTATGGACTCTCTCTTGCGTGTACGATTGAGTAAAGGCAGTATGCTAATCATGTTTCGCCCTCCAGGTGGAAGGACCTCCCTCCCGTCCCCAACTCGCAAGAGTTCCTGGACATCGTCCTCTCCAGGACGCAGCGCCGGCTGCCGACCCAGATCCGATCAGGCTTCAAGATCTCCAGAATCCGTGGCTTCTACACCCGCAAGGTCAAGTTCACCCAGGAGACCGTCAGCGAGAAGCTCGGCCAGATCATCGAGTCGTTCCCCCGCTTGAACGACATCCACCCCTTCCACAAGGACTTGATCAACACCCTCTACGATGCCGACCACTTCAAGATCGCCCTCGGCCAGCTCTCGACGGCGAAGCACCTTATCGAGACCATCTCCAGAGACTGTGCGTTGGAAACCCGTGTGTTTTGTTCGTGTGGCGGGACGGGAATGCTGATTGGTGTTTTGCAGACGTCCGTCTCCTCAAGTACGGCCAGTCGCTGTTCCAGTGCAAGCAGCTGAAGCGCGCCGCCCTTGGTCGCATGGCCACCCTGATCAAGCGCCTCAAAGACCCCTTGGTGTACCTCGACCAGGTCCGACAGCGTAAGTGGCGGCTAGTGAGAATCAGAAGCGCGCCTAGGAATACTGACACTATGCAGATCTTGGCCGTCTCCCCTCGATCGACCCCAACACCAGAACCCTTCTCATCACTGGATTCCCCAACGTCGGAAAGTCCTCTTTCCTGCGCTCCGTCTCCAGAGCCGATGTTGATGTGTACGTTGCGTCGACCTCGAGATCCTTGACCCCATGACTGATAGACCATGTTTGTAGCCAGCCGTATGCCTTCACCACCAAGTCCCTCTTCTGCGGTCACTTTGACTACAAGTACCTCCGATTCCAATGCATCGATACCCCTGGTATTCTGGACCACCCTCTCGAGGAGATGTAAGCGCCTTACCTCACACACGCCACGCAAACTAGATGCTAATGAGCCTAGGAACACCATCGAGATGCAGTCCGTCACGGCGATTGCCCACTTGCGGTCCGCCATTCTCTACTTCATGGATCTCAGTGAGCAGTGCGGCTACTCCATCCAGGCCCAGATCAACCTGTTTCAGAGCATCAAACCGCTCTTTCAGAACAAGATTGTCTTCATCGTCGTCAACAAGATCGACGTCGTCAAGCCCGAGGACCTAGACGCCGAGACCCAGGAGAAGCTCCAGGGTCTCCTCAAGTCCGGCGAGGTCGAGATGCTCCAGCTGTCCTGCAACACCCAGGAGGGCGTGCAGCAGGTCAAGAACGCCGTCTGCGAGCGCCTTATCGCCGAGCGCGTGTCCCAGAAGCTCAACGCCGGCACCAACTCCAGCGGCGCCATCGGTGGCCGTCTCGCCGACGTCATGGCCCGCATCCACGTCGCCCAGCCGATGAACGGCCAGACCCGTGAGACCTTTATCCCTGACGCCGTCAAGGGGCTCAAGAAGTACGACAAGGAGGACCCGGAGCGCCGCAAGCTCGCCAAGGACATCGAGGTCGAGAATGGCGGTGCCGGCGTCTTCAGCGTCGACATGCGCGCCGACTGGCTCCTCAAGAACCCCGAGTGGAAGTACGACAAGATCCCCGAGGTGTTCAACGGCCAGAACGTCTACGACTTCGTCGACCCCGATATCGACGCCAAGCTGCAGGCTCTCGAGGAGGAGGAGGAGCGTCTCGAGAAGGAGGGCTACTACGAGTCGGACGAGGACCTCGACGACGAGGAGGACGCCGACATCCTCAACAAGGCGGAGCTGATCCGCGAGAAGCAGGCCCTCATCCGCAACGAGGCCAAGATGAAGAAGCGCCTCAAGAACCAGGCCATCATCCCCCGCAAATCCATGAAGGTGCCCCTCTCCCAGATGGACGACGCCCTCGACCAGCTCGGTGTCGACACGACCGACATTGTCAACCGCGCCCGCGCCCAGTCCCGCCCCCGCGGCCGCTCCATGGGCAGATCCCGCGCCGGCACCGAGGACGCGGATGCCATGGACGTCGACGCGACCCCCAGAGAGCGCCTCCGCTCCCGCTCCCAGAGCAGGGCACGCAGCCAGGCCGCCACCGACAGGCGCAACGACGGTGTCACGGATGATGGTGCTCGTACCAAGGCTGAGCGCCTGGCTAAGCTCAGCCAGAAGAAGATGAACAGGAACGCCAGACAGGGTGAGGCCGATCGTCACACGACGGTCTCCCTCCAGAGGCACTTGGTGAGTTTTATCAGTTACCCGTACTTTTTAGACACATTGCTAACTCGTTCATCAGGTCGCCGGCAAGCGTGGCATGGGCAAGACGCAGAGACGTTAAGAAAAGGTGGACCGGTAATGTGGGTAGTGACAAAAAGGTTTCCGTGGCGGCATCACCGCATCGTTTGCGCTCCTTGATGGGAAGAACAAAAGTAAATACGCTGTGCTTGTTTTCGCTTTTCTTGGCCTTGGGGGCGTTTGGTTTGATTTATTTCGACATGTAGGAGCCAGAGAACGCAAGAGGCGAGCGTGGGGAGAAGCAGTTCGCGGAGTCGCCTATATTTCCTTGAAGGATGAATATTCAGGAAAAGGAAGGTTCCGTCGTTCTGCTTCATGTATCTAAGCCTGTGACGGCTCCAAAAGCCAAACAGACCATGATTTACGGGGCCGCTGAATACCCTGGATGAGAGAATTCACATAAAATTGAGTCGATATGAAAAAAGAAAAATGTGACAAGTTGCCCGTGTCGCAGGCCGGCCCGTTGTTGTCTAGTGCCTCCCACTCTTCCTATCTCCTTGCCTGTCTCACTCAGTCTCAAGCCACATGACCATCATCGACGTACCCTGACCAGTTTACATCACTCATGTTACACTGTTGGGACAAGTATTTACTGTTTTGCATATGGCTTGAATAACTTTGAAGTGCACCACCCTCCCCGATGTCTACGTCCAAGATATATATATATCTACTCCTGATCGTCGTCTGTTATGGTGTGCGAGGGCCCATTGCCTCTCAGACTGTGTTTCCTCCATGTTCAAACCCCACCCGCGTACGCAGTCGTCGGCCTTACTGCTCATCCGCAACCTGCAGACCCTCTCTAAGACCCTCAACAACGAGCTCCTCGCCAGTGGCGCGGCGGTAGATGTCCTTGACGTCGTCGGTCGTGCTCTCAAAGTGACTGCTGGCGTCGTAGCTCTTGGAGACGAAGACGTTGTCGGCACGGCCGTCGTCTGTGGGCTCGTAGATGGGGATGGGAGCACCCTAGTTGGCGTTAGTTTCTTCATTACACTGATGCTGCCGAGCATTCATCCACTCACCATGAACTGCTCCTCGATCTGTCCCAGACGGTCCAAGCCGGGCTGGAGCTCGAGGTGGTGGTTGGCGCCGGTCTCGGCAATGGTTGAGACGATGGCGATCCAGTAGCCCTTGGGGCAGACGTTGTGGGCAGAAGACACGCAAGCAATGTAAATATCTACCACAGGTCAGCCAACCAATCCGTTTCTTCCGGCCTCGAACAAATACGTACCGTTCTTGCGGCCAATCTGGGACTGGGGAATGATGAGCTGGCAAGAGTCGCTGTCGTTGGTGTGGCTGAGAGGGTGCTTGAGCACGCAAATGGCACGCAGGACCTGGCCAATAGGCTTAACCTTGCCGGGGAAGTAGCTGGGGTCACCGAGAATCATCTTGGCCTTGGTCTCGAACTTCATCTCCTCGACACCGGTCATGGTGGCCTTGATACCGACGGCCTTGCCGCCCTCGTAGGTGACCTCGTCGACGTTGGTGTTGAGCATGTAGGTACCGCCGTAGATGGCAGACAGACGAGCGAATCCCTGAGGAAGCTCGCCAAGACCGTACAGAGGGTAGATGTAAGGAGACTTGCCGTAGCGGGCAACGGAGGTGCCGTAGAGGCGGATGCGCTCAATGGCCTCCGGGGCGCCACCGGGCTTGGTGAGGTACTCGTCTGTGGTGAAGAGGGCCATGGCGTGGCCGATGAAGTCGCGAGTGCCAGTCTCGAGTCCGAACTTGTCGTAGACCTCTTTCATGGCGCAGTTGTTGATGTCGAGGCCTTTCACGTGTCAGCCCGAGCTTTATCTATGTGCCTTGCTCCCAGTCGGCGTCTTACCCTTGTGCGTGGCGGTGTCCTTGCGGTCAAAGGTGCCAATCCACTCGATGAAGCTCTTCATGCGGCGCTTCTCGAAGATGCCCATCAAGGGCGATCGCAGAGCCTCGCCGGCATCGGACGGAACCTTGGCAACTTGGGCCTTGGCACCCTGGCCTTGCTGGACGTAGCTGCCGGCGACCTGCTTGAACTCGAGGTATCGTGTGACGTCGGTCGATACGAGGATGTTGGTGAGCTCGCCGGAGGACATGAGGAACTTGGGAACCAGGTCGATGTTCCAGTCATTCAGGCGGCCGTACTTGGTCCAGGGCTCCTCGCCCTTGTTGTAGTTGCCATACTTCTTGAAGAGCTACAGGTGGGTGTCGGGTCAGAACTCATGCGGGTAAGCAGGTAAAGAGTCGAGGGAATTTACCGTCTCGAGGTTCACGGAAGCTGCCTCACTATTCATGGTTAGCGCTTGCTCGGAGGGGGAAATGGCGGTCATGGCAGAAGGGAGAGCCAACTTACCCGCCGTAGTGGTCGTTACGGTCAATGTGGAGGACCTTCTTGCCCTTGACACTGAGAACACCAGAGAGAATACACTCAGTCAGGCCTGTGATCCGGAGGAAAAGAGAGCAGAGCTCGTCAGCAAGGAAGCTTCTCTCGGGCAAAGGCGAAGCAGAACAGACGGCACGGGAAGGGGGGACCCCACACGCCAGAGCGACGATGCGGGGCACAGGACGGCGTAACGTCACTTACCGGTGCCCAGCACGATGACATCGTATTCCTTTGCAATCTCATCCATGTTTGCGCGAGTCTTGAAGGGGGGAGGCGGGGAGGTAGATTAGTCGGGTGTTGTCAATAGAGGAGGGAAAAGAAAGGTCGAGGGAAGACTGGATGTTCACGTCTGGAGAAGTAGTTGCGGTGTTGTAGGAGACATGGGACCGAAAATGCAGCAAAAGGAAGGACTGGGTGGGGGCGAGGGACATGAAGAGCCCGCGGTGCCACCTGGACCTGGACCTGGACCTGGTGCAGACGGACGGGACCTGTTGCTTTTGGAGGGGTTCAGTGTCAAGTGTGTCACTGGGCCAGTGCTTGCGCTCGCTTTGGGGCCTGTCTGGCTCCAGCGCGTTGCCCGTTAATGGATAGGTACCTCCCCTCAGGTCCGCTCTCATCTCTCCGCTCTGTGGCTCACCGCTAATGCTGCGATAGTAGCCAACTAGCGACCTAGGTACCCGGCTGCTTTGTTGCTGGGCCTGAGGCTAATGATTCCACGTCCTCGAGCAGCAAGGTACCTTACAGATTCATTAGCACAGCACCACTTACCGTCTGTTTCCCCGGCGAAACATGTACTCGGCGGTGTGGCTGGCCCTGTTTGGGTACAAGGGCCCAGGTCTCGTCCCGCCCTCCCCGTACCACTTCTGTAACATTATGCGAGTAGTCTCATCTGGGTATCCGTACTGCGCATAGCATTCTTCGTCTGCTCTCCTGATGCAATCCCCAACGGCTTGTTGGGCTTGCAGGCTCAGCTCAGCAGCCCGGCCAACCTCTCGTGACCCGCCGACCGACGCCATCGCATCAGATAAGAATCACCACATGTAGTAGGGGGTTTCTCTTCTCTTTTTGGCGGCGACACGACCGTCTGCCTGTTGCACAAAAACCGTATCGTACAAGGTTCTATACATGTCTGGATACACTTTTACATAGCTTCATTTCCTCGGCCCCCAAGCCGGTAAGGGTAATGATTACAATCGTTTTGGCTTTCAAAGCTTGGGAACCGGCAGGTCCACGGGCTTCGCCTCAGCCTTCTTTGCCTCCTCGGGCTTCTTCTTCTCAGCCTTCTTCGCCTCCTCGGGCTTCTTCCTCTTAGCCTTCTCAGAAGTTACCGGCGTGGCTTCTGAGTCAACCTCGGCCGCCGGGTCCGTCTTGCCCTCGACTGGAGCACCACCAGCTGCGGCCGCTCCCTGCTCGGCCGAAGTCTCCTCTACTGTCTGATCCTCCGCAACAGCTTCCGGCTCGGGCTCTAGCTCCAGCTCCGGCTCGGGAATTGCGGGTGCAACGTAGCCGCTGTAGGCCGGCTCGCCCTCCTCGGCCCAGAGGTTGATCTCAGGGTCTTCGGCCGCAAGCTTGCGTGCATCTTCCCAAACGTAGTAGCGTTCCGTCAACACGTGCTTGATCGCTCTCATCGTGCTGAGGACCTGTGAAACTTTTGTTCAGTGACTATTGAATCCACAAAGCGGTGGGAGTATACGAACCACGTCATCTCTCTCGTCGCCCTCGTACTCTCCGAATCCTACCATGCGCCTGGCACGCTCCTTTCTCGCCGTCGCGAGGCGATTTCGCTCCTTCAGGCAGACGTACCACAGCGAGTGCAGGTCATCCCAGCTCTTTTTGCGCAGATCCCGAACAGACCATGCGCGGCCGTGGGCTTGGGTTTCCTTGGGCGTTTGTAGCAGCTTCTTGTCGTAGAAAAATTCCCAAAGCCCGTGTTTCGGGTCCACTCCGACCTTGGGTTTGTAGTCTGCCGGCCGGGGGATCTCCTCCCACGAGACGGACAGCGGCTCACGGGGACCAGTCCTCCTCATGCTCGAGACTCCTCTCAGGCGGTTGCTGTCGCGGGTCTTGCGCTTCGAGTGGGCGGCTGAGGTCGAGAAGGCCGATGTTGCGATTCGTGGGCGGGTGGCAGAGACGGCTGTCGAGCTCGCGGGCAGCCATTGTCGAGTTTCTTGCAGCCGCAACATGCGGCCGATCGTTGGCCGCAGCGCAGTTGGGTTTGCCATCGCAATTGAGATCAACGACGCTGCTGGCAAGAATCGTGCGGTCCTCTCTGAAAGCTCGAACTATTTCGTCTGGTCAAAAAATTGGAGGCACTCAGCCAATCAGAAGAGCTCCCGCTGCGGCCACGGGTGAACGACCCCCCGGGTGGGTCCGCACGCCACAGTTGGGTATGGTGGCTGCCCCTCAATGTGGCCCCCATGTTCAATTCCCTTCTAGACGGAAACCCAGGCGGTTTTCGCTTTTATTGATTGACAATGGGTTTCTGCCACCAGTCTCTCGAGGCATGATCCAGTTTGATAGCGACTTGGGTCTCCAAGATGTTGGTGCATAACGTACGAATGTAGCTTGACTCTGAAGTCGTCGCGAGTTACGATACACAGCCCTTTTATACAGACCCTTAGTAGTCCTCGAGATGGTAACAGCTTTGAGAAGATATCTATTCATCCTATGGGTTCATCGAGAGGATCAAATTGCAACATTCTCTGAGGTCTACTGGGACAGTCTCAGGCCATTTTCGCGATAACCACGGTCCAGACCGGTAGTATATGAAGGAATAATGGTCGAGGAGGGATAAGAGATGCCCGAAGACTGAACCTGTAGTGCCCGCTTGATGTCAATCATTTTGGGTATGTAGTGATGGCTATAATGCTCGCAATCTCTTTCGTCTACGGAGATCTAGTGAGGAAAAGTCTTCACGTGGACGCTCATATATGAGTATATCACCAATCGTGAAGGTCGTGCAGAAGGACCAGGTGACACTTCACGGGGTATTCGGCTCAGACACCGGGTGCGGGGAGGCCATATATTTCAATCTCTCGTCCCCAGGAAACTGTCCTCGCCAGTGTAGTAGAGCAGAAGACCCTCTCCCCAAATCTCACAGATCGATGACGGACATGCAGCCCTCAAAGTAAAATGCGAGTGGGAAGCTGCTTTTAACATCCGGCCACAGTGCTTTTCTCGGAGGCCAACAAAAAATCAGCAGGAGCTTTGACACTTAATCTACTTTCTTCAGAAGTACTGTTTCAGGCGGTTATATGCTTTATTCCTCAGGCTGCTCCAATTCTTTGGTTCTATTCTAGGGAAAGCACCGTAGCAACAAGGGATGCACCGTGATATTATAGCCATGATCAGCCAAATAGTTGAAATAGTCCATACGCTTGCTCGTCAATTTTTGATGGTCTCGAACAGTCGTGTCGTCTAAGGACCTTGGCCTCTTTGGGTGCTTGGGTAGCTGTACATCACCCAGCGAGGATGTCTCCTTCATGTCTAGCAATAACTTCAAGTGCCTCAAGAAACATACATACACGAGAGCGATGGAATTATCTTCCTTATTTCTGTGTCTCAGTCAAGGATAGAGATCGTTTGACGTCTCTTGTTATTTGATAGCCTGCTGAACTCTACGTAAACCTGCGCTTCCTCGACCTGGCCGTAGAGCCAACCACTCGGATTGTTGGATCGTGAAGGACAGCGGAGGTGAGATATGTCGGAGGTTGTAGAGTGACTAGACATTCGTTCAATTACCGGAGCTTGTTAGTAACGAGGAAGACATCTCTCAATACTACGTCATGATCTTGCAGTGCCTTTGGTCGATACACTTGTCAGCGTAGACTCAGAGGCTTAGGACTAATGCATACTGCCGAGGGCCGGTAGTATTTGTAGCGAAGAGGAAGCACCGGGACTAAAGACGATTGTATCATATGCGGCTGCAACTCAAGATATGTACAAATTTTTGGGATGCAGCCGATCCGCTTCTACGAGAAAACATATGGTCATTCAGGTATAATCAGGTGCTTGATAAATACCAACCCACGGTAAGGCATCTCTCACCGGCGGCATCAAACGGATGACTTGAATAGAATGAAAGTAGTAAGCCTTGTAGCTCTAGAAACCCTGCAGTCACTTTCACATCGTCATGCGCCATATGACGACACCAGAGCGAATTTCACGAGAGACTAGAAATGAGGCCCCCTACTGGACGTCTAGACACTTTCAGCCAGTGCTCGTTGCGGTATTTGATTTATGGAGTGAGCCGAGACAGCGGCCGTACAGATTTAAACTGTCTGCTTTACCATATCAGGTTTACTTGGTTAAAGAAGTGAGTTGAGTCGAGGGCTGTATGGTTTTGAACCTCTCTTATTGTAACATGTCATTGGTGCGCTCGCTCTTGACATTGTAACGGTCGTCCATCAAGTCAGTGCCGCTAAACGCTGGACGACCCTACCCTAGATACATCATCTCAAGCACCTAATCATTGAAAAATTGTTGGGAAATCTAGACCCTCTGATTCTTTTCTTGTGCTTTTAACTGAATGCCTCCCCGGCCCTGCCGCGGTTTCCGAGTATCCTTCCGCGACCCACGTAGCCTCGTGAACCAAGGCTGAGCATAACTTCTCAGACATGAGCCATAGCTTAAATGAAGACATGAGATGTTTATCCATATTGATGTACTGATGTACTTGCTGGGACGGGTTTAGGGGGCAGGTAGCAAGCGACTCTTCACGCTCGAACTCTGTATATGAGGTGACTTGGCTAAGCACAAGACTCTCGGCAGCATCATCAGATGTGACTAGAAGCACATTACAATTCGTGTATGTATCTATAAGGAGACCGTGGTGCCATTTCTAAGTCTATCGTTGTGTAGAATCAGAGCCGCCAAAGCCTCAGCATCGACGACAAACAATGTCCTCGTCATATCACCCATTCGAACACTACAGAAGGCCAACACAATCGTTCACGGAACTCGGCCTCAGAGTCTTCAACAGTATCCTAGGAAACAGCATAGTCACCATCATCACTCATGATGTCCCGTCCCCATCCCGTCCCGCGTGACCCAAGTCGCCCGTCCCCATCACCACCACGCCAAAGCCCACACTACGGCAGAGAACCCACAACTCCCCACGGGATGCCTCCGTCAAAGATCCGCAACCCGCGACGGCAACGTCAACATCCATCGCACTGGATACCGGCCGGTTGGCCCAATGGCAAGGCGTCTGACTACGATCCAATTCAAATCTGATATCAGGAGATTCTGGGTTCGACC